CGTCTTGGAGCGGTCTTGGGGGCCTCTTGGGCCGTCTTGGAGCGTCCGGAAGCCGAAAAAGCCAGAACGCAAAAAACATAGAAAAAAACAATGAAAATCAACGATTTTGGCCTCTTGGGGCCCTCTTCGGAGGCCTCTTGGAAGGCCCTTGGGGCGTCTTGGAGGCCTCTTGGGCTGTCTTGGGGCCCTGTTGGGCGTCTTCGGGCGATCTTTGGCCGTCTCGGGGCCCTCTTGGACCGTCTTGGAGGCTTCTTGGGGACCTCTTGGCCCGTCCTGGGGCCCTGTAACAGGGCTCCGGCATCTCTGGCCCGACCTTGCCGGGACCTTGCCGGGACCTTGCCGGGGTACTTTTCGTCCGGGGACCTCCAGGGGCCGCCCCGCACGCGCGAACAAGAAATTATGTTAATCTGACGAGCCCTGGACAGAACCCTGCGATAGTTATTCAATTATTTCTGACACTAGTAACGGCGAGGTTGCAAGCAAGTGGATTGGGAGATGGGAACAATTTGTTTCTATACCTTTGAAGCTGTCGCGACTCAAGAAAGCGTTCGCCACAAACGTTAGGGACATTTTCAATATCATTGTGAAATGAAAGAGTTTGTGTCGTCATGACATTCATATAGACGGGTTCGAAATGACAGGTTTGGCAATCTAAGGGAACGTGTTGCGAGTCTGCCCAAAGGAATGGGGAACACAAGCAACCATGTCAAGGACAGAGTTCGACAAGGAACTCGGGGACTTGCATCGTTCAGGCTTTTGGCGCAGGTATGTGATCAGCTCCACGGCGGCACCGGAGATCCGATGAGCAAGTCGAACTCTTTTCTCCGTGTGATGCAAACGATCACCTCTATGCAACAAATCTAGTACGTTTTTGGTGGTCCAGCGTGTGGCACGTGATGCCCCGATGTTACACATGCACGCGGCAGCAACGCATTTCTTATTCCAATACAAAATCGAAAAGGATACCGAAAAAATAAAAAATCCAATAAAATATCGAATCGAACATCGAAAATCGAAAAATCGATATTTCTTATACCGAAACAACATGATGGATCAGAACTGTCTGCAGGACTTCCAATGCTGAGCTTCGGCGCTCCGGCGCCCCCGCTGCGCTCTTCCAGGGCCGCGCTCCGGCGCGAGCTGCAGCGGCCGTTTCTCCGTCCGTGCGTCCGTCCCCTGGGGGCCTGTTGCCGGTCTTGGGAGTCATCTTGGGGCGGATGGCTTGACATGTCAGTCGGTGTTCCCCCTCTTGGGCCCCTCTTGGGGCCCGCTTGGGCCGCCTTTGGGGCCGTCTTGGGGCCATCTTGGGCTGTCGTGGGGCTCTCTAGGGGGCCTCTTGCGCCGTCTTGGGGCGATCTTGGGGTCTTCCGTCTTGGAGGGATGGGAGCCCGAAAAGGCGATGAACATTTATGATTTTGGCTTCCTGGGGTCCTCTCGGGGAGCCTCTTGAAGCCTTCTGGTGTGCCGTCTGGAGGCCATTTTTGGGCGTCTTGGAGCGATCTTCGGGCGACTCGGGGCCCTCTTTGACTGTCTTTGGGGCGTCTTATGGCGGGGCCCTCCTGGCCTATCCGAAGGCTTTCTTGCCCATGGAAAAGTCACGCGGGGGCTCCCCGAGAGCGCTTGGGAGATCCAGACGTCGGGGATGTGGGCTCCTTCAACAGTTCTTGCAGTCAGTGCAGAAGGAACCTGACGACACTCCACATAGTGCCTCCAAGCACGGTGGCTGATTTTGTTCTTTAGGATTAACATGTAACAGGTACCGGACGGGTAAATTTAGCCAACCCGATGGATTTCACACCATCCAACTTCTCCAGGGAGTCTGGCTACGTACGAAAAAAGGAGCGTCCCGTTAAGAGCTGCTCATCGTTTCCGCATACCCCCTGGATGTGTGTGTGTGTATGTGTGTGTGAGAGAGATAGGTGATTCTGTGGATCTTTCCGAGGGCAGTTCTGCAAGTAAGAAACACCAGCCGTGGACGAGGCTGGGTCCCTGCCGGCCAAGAACAGGAGGGCCAAGTCCAGGGCTCAGGATCGACTTGGCCTGGGTTGTTAACGGTATATGATCTATGCTTTCCGAAACTCTATTGCATAATGATTTTCTTTCCAGCTTTGAGCATTTTGCACATCTGTGCGCAGGCGAGTGATGGAGCACGCCGCCACATGCGCGCCCTGGAAGATAAGCGAGAACGGGTGTCTGCAGGCACGTGCTCAGATGGACGCGCGCGCTCCCAAGACCGCGACATCGGGACCATACGTATTTTGCCCTGGGTCGGTGGAGCTTTAGACTTGCATTCTAGTTCAGAGATGTACTCCATTCCACCGAGCCCCGAAAGGTGGATGTGAGGTGGATGGGCGAGTGTATTTCGTTCCGCTTCATGTAACCCCAGGAGCTCCTGCAGAAACTATGCCCAGGGGAACAGTTGGGAGAAGGGAAACAAGTCTGCACGCAGTGCAACCAACAACCATGTTGAGCACAGAGACCTCAGAGAGCCTCTTGGAGGCCTCTTGGAGTTATCTTGGAGGTCATTGGGCTCCCTTTTTAGAGCCTTTGAGGCCCTCTTGGGGCTTTTGGGGGGTCCCCGTGGGAGCCGTGGGGGCCCTCCTGGAGCCATCCTGGAGTTTATCCATCCAAGACGAGCTGTTTCTTAGATTCATCTCCCCCGCTTGGAGACTGGCTTCTTGGGCCCCCTTGGGCCCACTTGGACGCTCTTGTGGAGTTCTTAAGGGCCTTCAGAGGAGAAGCAGACCGAATCCAACCACGTCGGCCTGTTTAGCGCCGCTTGCAACCACCCGAAAAGGTCGGATTGTAACCGAAATGAACTTGATTGTCGCAATCCTTCGGATCACTGAAGGGCGCTCTTCGGAGCGGCCGCCTGAGAGCACCCGAATGGCCCTTTGATATCCCGCGCGTGACCTCTTGCCTCTTGAGAGCCTCTGAGCGGCCTCTTGAGACCCTCTGAGCGGCCTCTTGATGTCCTCTGAGCTTCTTCTCGAGATCCTCGGAGCGGCCTCTTGAGATCCTCAGAGCGGCCTTTCGAGAGCCTCCGAGCGGCCTTCTAGAGCGTCTTAGCGGCTTCCTTGACAGCCTTTGAGTGGCCTCTTGACAGCCTCCAAGCGGCCTCGTGAGAGCATCTGAGCTGCCTCTTGAGACCCTCTGGGCGACCTCTTGAGGGCCTCATGCGCGCCCCGTCGAGCGGTTGCAAAGCACATTGTGTGCTCCCAGATGTTTTGGGGCGCGCGCAAGCTACTGCCGTGCAAAGTGGATTACTGTGGAGGTCCTTGTTTGATGCGGTGCTGGCGAGTCCGTAATCGCATGGTCGCAGCGTGGCGCTCAGAGACGCGGTGCGGGGCTCGCAGATCGGTGCGGTGCCGTCAGACAGACGGACAGAAACCGAGCCATGACGGCGCATTGGCAAACAAGGCGGAAGTGCTGATCACATACGGGCCGGCATGCAGAAAAAACGTAAGACTGTACAGTGCTTCGGGGTCCATCGTTGTAGTTTTTGTTTCCAACGAGGCGAGGTGCTGTGGTCAAGTCAAATTGGCTGCATTGTATCAAACCAGGATGTACGCATCACTTCATAGTGTACGGTTCTAGTGGATTGTGCGATTCTCGGCGTCATTTTGACCGGGTTTTTTTTCTGACCCAGAATGTATCTGACGGTTCTAACGGGTTGCACTCGGCTGCTCAACGGTGGATTTTGCGAGTGTGCCCGGCGCAGTCTGTTTTGCCAGCGTCATGTCGTCCAAATCCAACCCATTTGGTGCTTGCTGCGAGTCGGCATGGGCACCCAAGTTGGCTTACCGTTCAATTTTCCCAAGCCAGTACTGCGACGGCTTCTTGGCTGAAGCACGGATCCGTCTTTTTTGTGTTGGTGGCATTGGAAAGCGACCCGTGTTTGGTTTGTGGATTGCGAGCGATAGCGATCGAGGTTGCAATTTTTGTTTTTGCCGTCGGGTTCGCAAACTCTTTCTCAGAATACGAAGCGCCGACTGGAGGCATATCACTCTATCCTGAAGCGGTGTTGGCAGCCGCTCCACAAACATGATGTGTTGAAAGGCGCCCGATTCGTCGCAGCTGGACAGGACCAGCCACAATTCATGTCGATCGGTGTCAATGCGTTTTCATCGGTCCCATGTGGATGCGACTGGGGGCAATCTCGCCTTCGGGGCCGTCTTTGGAGCACTTCTAGGCCCTTCTTGGGGCTTTCTTTAGATGCCCATCATAAGCGAAAGGGCTCAACAGTTAGACATCATTAATCAAGCAACATATTTTAGTAGAAAATTGACTTTCGTGGTTTTCCCTGGGATGCTCCGTGGCCACTTGGGAAGATATTGGGTTCCTTTGGCCGTGCAGGAGCTCTTCTGGTGCCTTCTCGGAGTGTGTCTTGGGCATCTTGGAGGTGTTCAGGAGTGGATTCGGAGGCCCGGAGGGCCCAGGAGATGCGCCGAGCATCTTGTCAACCTCCCCTATCCCAGTCCTTCCCCCTCAAGCGGGATTTTGGATCACCAGGAAGGAGGGGGAAAGGGGGAAGGGAAAATTCAATCATCTCACACGTTGTATCACCCCAGGCACGAGGAGGTCGGCCGTTGCGAAGTCACCACAAACCGAGTTTTCGTGCTTCGTTCTGGCTTGACGTGCTTTCGAAGCCGTGCGCGAATGCTCCGTGGCCTCCCCCCTCGTGCTCGAATCTTCTAGGTAAAACGGAGGAGGGCAACAGGAGGGGGAGGGGGAAGTGGTAGGAGGAAGAGGATGGGCTGGACAAGGAGAAGCTGGAGGAGGAGCCGGAGGAAAAGGAGGAGGCGGAGGAGGAGGAGGCGGAGGAGGAGGAGGAGGAGGAGGAGTAGGATTATGGAGGAGGCGGAGGAGGAGGAGGAGGAGGAGGAGGAGGAGAGGAGGAGGAGGAGGAGGAGGAGGAGGAGGAGGAGGAGGAGGAGGAGGAGGAGGCGGAGGAGGAGGAGGAGGAGGAGGAGGAGGAGGAGGAGGCGGGCGTCGGTGAGGCCGCGAAGGCCGCGGCGCGCTGAGCTCGGGCGCGCGCCGTGGCCGCCCCGCCCCGCCCCCCCCTCGCGCGGCCCGCTCCGCCGCTGCTCTTTGGAGACGCGTCGGGTGGGCGGCTCGGGGCCGATGTCTTCAAGGGCTCCCCCGAGGGCGCGAAGTTATTCGCGCTTCGCGCTTCGCGGTCCTCGTTTCTCCTCCCCCTCCTCCTCGTCCTCCTTTTGTCCCTTTGGGGGGGCGGCGCGAGAGCGCGAAGTTATTCGCGCTTCGCGAGAGCGCGAAGTTATTCGCGACGGTCTGCGTCCCCTCCTCGTGGTGCCTCTTCGGGCGACGAAGTCTATACATATCCACTGCTCCCTGACCATGCCCATCTGGAGCCCAGGAGCTGTGTATGCGCCCTCCTGGCCAAGCCAGGAGGGCGTGGCGTATACACCGCTGCGGGGTTGAGGATGGGCCTGGCCAGGGAGCAGTGGATATGTATAGATTTCGTCGCCCTACCTCTGTGAGGCGTCCTCGTCGATGAGTCTGGATTCCCTCCGAGGTCTTGGCCAAAGCGCACCCACAGGACAAGGCCAGGGCGTGGGCTTTTGAGGTGGACCGGTGCAGGCGCATACCTCGGACGCCTCGGGGGCCCAGCTCGGGGCCCAGGACAATCGAAAACTACCTGAGACGAAAATCAAGTCCCTTGGACGGGGTTGAGAGGTCCGGGGGCCCATATCAAGAGAAGCAATCATGACGCCGGACGCCTGAAGGCGGGCAACATCGACTCCACATCACCCATTCGTCGCCGGTTGGGTCCTAGATGCCCCAGGAATGTACGATTTCTCCATGGGGAGCGCATCGCCAATCTCACAGCGATAAATCGGCGATCCCACGCTCCTGTTGACCCCACCCTTGAGCCAGCACCCCCCCTCTCGTCTCCCTAAATCGGACCGGGGGGCGGGACCGCGCGTCGCTTGCTGCGGCCCAGCAGTTCGATAGGCGCTGAGGACTGTTCTGACCCCGCGCACGGCGAAAAGGAGCGAAGGAGCACGACGAGGAGGCGGAGTAGGAGGAAGAGGAGGAGGAGGAGGAGGAGGAGGAGGAGGAGGAGGAGGAGGAGGAGGAGGAGGAGGGTGAGGAGGAGGAGGAGGAGGTGGAGTAGGAGGAGGAGGAGGATGAGGGCGCAGGGTTATCGTTTGTCGCCCCGGGCGCGCTTCAGGAAGGCTCGGTGCCCTTTACGACGGAGTAGGAGCAGGAGGAGGAGGAGGAGGAGGAGGAGGAGGAGGAGAAGGAGGAGGAGGAGGAGGAGGAGTAGGAGGAGGAGGAGATGGAGGAGGAGGAGGAGGAGAAGGAGGAGGAGGAGGGGAGGAGGAGAAGGAGGAGGAGGAGGAGCAGGAGGAAGGACAGGAAGAGGAAGAGGAAGAAGAAGAATAATAAGAAGAAGAAGAATAAGAAGAAGAGGAACATCAGTATTATTAATAATCACGGGCGCGCGGGCATATCGGTGCCCCTGCTTCTCGTAAGAACCTCATCATCTGAACTGCCCCACTTCAAACGTGGCACATCCTCGCATATGTATGTCTGTGTCTGCGCATGCAGCCGATCAATGCAAAACGTGCACGCGCATTCTTGTCAATCCCCCGTAAGCTCAGTGAAGGCAAGCGCGAGCGACTGAGGCGCCCCCCAACCAGACATACCTGCCGACGCCTACTCAAATCACCTGCGCGCGGCCCAAGCCTCCGCCTGCCACGGCTGCTTGTCATCGAGTCGGTGCCAATTCTTTGGCTTGCAATGTATTTGGTAACATCGGTTTGGATTGTAAACGCCTAAGTCTTCTTGTTGTGAACGGTTTCAACGCGATTCCTTGTCTGGGGGATTTCTATAGGAATCCTTTTGTGGAGGATTTAAATAGGAATGCTTCTGTGGAGGATTTCAATGGGAATCCTTCTGTGGAGGATTTCCTCTTTCCTCCTCCTCGTCCGCCTCATTCTTTCTCGCCATCCTCATCCGCCTACTTCTCCTTCTTCTGAGAGGTTTCACTAGGAACCCTGCTGAGGAGGATTTCACTAGGAATCCTTCCGTGGTGGCTTTCAGTAAGAACCTTCTCCTCGTCCGCCTCGTCTTCCTCCTCTTCCTCCCCATCCGCCTCATTCTGCTTCTTGTCAAGGGTTTCAGTGAGGACCCTTTCAGAAGGGGGCAGGATGAAGGGCGAAGAGAAGGAGCAGGGGGAGGAAAAGGAGGAGGAGGAAGACGAGGAGGATGAGGAACGTGACGAAGGTGAGGCGTAACACATTACTCACAAAACTGCTTGTGGAGCTGCGTTCACAACTAGATTTGTGAGTGACGCCCGGGAGCGGAAAGGAGCGGGCAGGATGAACAGCAGGAGGAAGGATAAGGACGATATGGGTGAGGAGGAAGAGGAGGGTGAGAAAGAAGAAGGGGAGGGTGGGGAGCACGACGAAGTTGAGGAGGAACACATGACTCACAAAACTGGTTGTGGAACCACGTTCGCAATTAGTTTTGTGAGCAATGTCTCGTAGCGGGAGGTTACTCGCAAAATTTGTTGCGGAACTTCGTTCACAGCTAGATTAGTGAGTGACGCCTCGAAGTGGAGAGGAGCGGGCAGAATGAACAGGAGCAGGAGCAGCAGGATGAAGAGGGTGAGGAGAATGAACAGGGGGGTGAGGAGCATGACGAAGGTGAGGAGGAACACATTACGCACACAACTAGTTGTGGAGCGGCTTTCACACTTACTTTTGTGAATGATATCTCGTAGTGGGAAGTTACTCGTAAAACTAGTTGTGGAGCTGCGTTCAACACTAGATGTGTGAGTAACGCTTCGATGCGGAAAGGAGCGGGCATAATGAAGAAGAGGAGGGGCAGGTGGAGGAGGGTGAGGAGGAAGATGAGGAGGATGAGGAGCATGACGAAGGTGAGGCGTAACACATTGCTCTCAAAACTGCTTGTGGAGCCGCGTTCAACATTAGTTTTGTGAGTATTGTCTCGTAGCGGGGGATTACTCGCAAAACTAGGTGTGGAGCTGCGTTCACGTCTTGATTTGTGAGTAACGCCTCGGAACGGAGAGGGGCGGGCAACTCGAATAAGAGGAGGGGCAGGGGGAGGAGGAGGGTGAGGAAGAACAGCAGGGTGAAGAGCATGACGAAGGTGAGGCGGAACGCAGTACTCACAAAACTAGTTGTGGAACCGCGTTCGCAACTAGTTTTGTGAGTAATGTCTCGTAGCGGGAGGTTGCTCGCAAAGTTCGTTTTGGAGCTGCGTTCGCAATCGATGTGTGAGCAGCGCCTCGAAGCGGAGAGGAGTGGGCATAATGAAGAGGAGCAGGAGCAGGAGCAGGAGGGTGAGGAAGAGCAGCGGGCGGGTGAGGAGCTGTGGAGGATCTCAATAGGAATCTCTTTGTTTCGAGGATTTCGATAGGAAGGAATCCTTACGTGGAGGATTTCAACGCGAATTCTTCTGTGGAGGTTTTCAATAGGAATCCTTCTGTGGAGGATTTCAATCGGAATCTTTGTGTGGAAAGTTTCAATAGGAATCCTTCTGTGGAGGCCGAACGATTGCGAAAATTCTTCAGGAAACCAAAAAAACCCAAAACAAACAAAACAGCTATGATTTGCCATGGCGCAGCCGACATATAACCGCTGCTTGCAACGTGGCGCGTGGCTGTAGGTGCGCCCCATGCCCAACCGTGTTCTTGGCGTCCTTGCACGACCAGTCGGCTCTTGCAAACGGGACGTCGCTCGTAGTGTGGTGAGGTCTGCGAGTTTTAGTGTCCTTGTCGGTGTGAACCCATCTCGTACCAACGGGGTGGACTTTTTCTCGATGGAGCTCCTTCGCCTGGTGGTCGTTGAGTGCCTCCATAGCATGGAACTCTTGCCGGCTACGCCATTCCTTCTCCGTGGCCGGGCTGAAATAGCTTCGTAGTTTTGGTGTAAGGTCCTGCAATCACATCTCAGACCGAGCCGCTCCTTCCGTCAGGTAGGCATACTCCGCGCGGTCGTTGTTCCCGACGTCCTCATCGCTGTGCACGGAGATCGTCTCGATGGAGGTGCTCGATGGTAGAGCTGTTCGTAGACTGCGGTGTCCTAGCGGTAGGCCTTGGACGTCGATGTCTCGGGGGTCCCGCCTGTCTTGATGTCCTTCGTGATGCGTCTCAGGACCGTGGGCCAGCGAGGTGTCGGGGCGTCCGTGACGATGTAGTTCGAGTTGCCATAGTCGGCGCGCTTCCATTCGTAGGCGCAAGCCAGGTCGGCCCTGCGGTCGTTCGTGCAGTCAGCTTCGTGTATCAAGGGCTCAAAAAATGCCCCTACCCTGGTTTACGAGGCGCTGTGCGCTGAACCTCCTGTGGGCTGACAGGGTAAACGCTGCATTTCGCGCGTGTCGCGCAGCGTCCTAACGGCCCCATGACCTTTGGGAGCTCCCGGGGGGTTTACAGACCACGCACGTGTAACCCAGGGTAGGGGCGTTTTTCCATCCCTCTAATGTAGGTTCCTCCATCAGGAGGAGCTCCTCGTCCACGTGGGCCTGAACGTCCGCTGCTTCTTGGCGCGCGTAGATCCGCCGAATCGGTCTGCGTGTCTGTGTTGGGTTTGCTGCGCCGGTGTCCGTTCTGGTTGCTCAGCTCATCGTGGGCCATCCAGCTCTGGGCAATCGCGTGGGAGGGTCCCCGTGATTGTCTCCGCTGCCCGTTCTGTTGATGCAGCGGCTCGTCGTACGAAATCGCGTTGTCCACCGTGTCTAAGCACAGCTGGATCCCCCGGTGCGGGTCCGCGTGGTTGTTCTTCTTATTGGCGTTCTTCGTCTACTGATTCGATCAGTGGCTTGTCGTCATCTAAATCCACCTTCACCTTCTGATTGCTGCGGCAGAGGTGCAGATTGGTATTCTAGGCGTCTTTGCCGTCGTCATCATCGTTTTTTTTGCATTCTGAGCGGTCGCTCCGTCTCCTGACGGTCTGGGCGCGGTAGGCGCAGCTGGCGAATGCGGCAGGCGGTCCAAACAACCCTCTGCGTCGCTAGCACGTCTCTGTGGAGCGGGCACCTGTCTCACAGGATCGCCTGCAACGACGGCGTCTGATTGGATGTCGATGTTGTTTCGAGCGCCCATCGTGCCCGTGACGTTAAGCAGGTCGGGTTTGATTTGTGCGTTCGTGGCCAGCAGATCGTTTTCGGACGCGAAACGTAGCACTTCGGGTGCTGCAAGGACCGTAGTATGTCCGTCGCGTAGCCAAACTGCATGAGTGTCGGTATCGGTTGTCTCCTGCAAGTCGTCGTCGTCGTCGTCGTTGTCGTCGTCGGCGTCTTTCAGATTCCGAACCTCGTGCCCGATCGCTTTTGCCGGGCCGAGCCAGTTGCTTCGATTCTATCGGGGCTTCGAGCCTCCCGCGCGTGCCAACTTGGAATTCTTTAAGCTTCGCGTATCCCCACCAGCCCATCTCAAAACAGCAACTCTTGCGAAGCATGCCGACAGTCGTGTTTTTCAGGCGTGTTTCCGCCTGGCCCCGCATATCTCCCCTGTTCCTCCTTCCTCCCGCCTCCTTGTACATCCTCCTTGTGGTGGGAGCGGGAGAAGGACGAGGCGGAGGAGGAGGGAGAGAAAGCGCTCCTCGTGGTTTGAGTCGTTTGGGGTTTCTTGTCCTGGTGTGAGTCGTTCGGGCCCTTCTTCCTGGTGTGAATCGTTCGGGCTCTTCGTGATGTGAGTCGTTCGGGCTCTTCGTCCTGGTGTGAGTCGTTCGGGCTTCTCGTGGTGTGAGTTGTTCGGGCCCCTCGTCGTCGTGTGAGTCGTTCGGGCCCCTCCTCCTGGTGTGACTCGTTCGGGCTCCTCGTGGTGTGAGTCGTTCGGGGCCCTCGTCGTGGTGTGAGTCGTTTTGGGAGCCTCTTGGAGGCCTTTTGGGGCGTCTTCGGGGCCTCTTGGCTGCCCCAGGGGCTTCTAGGAGCGTCTTGGGTGCCTTGGGGGAGCCTCTTCGGGCCTCTTGGGAGCCTCTTGGAGGCCGTTTGGGGCGTCTTGGGGGCCTCTTGGTGG